GTTTTTCTACACCTTCACTCTTATCTCTCAAACCTATTGCCTTGATAGGATTGGGCACTATTGAAGGAGAAAAAGTACTGACGGGATGAGCCATAGCTAATGAAATGGGAATGAAATTTCACGAATTTTGTCATCCTTGAAAATATACAAGGAATTAAATTGTTTTACAGAAAGATTGGGGAAGTCCAACTTGTGCCAAAGTAGCAAACAAGCATACGAGGACAACCACCCATTTGGACAAATTTGTATAATGACGATTCCCCATGAGGACAAAAGCTTTCGGATGACGCGAAGAAATGACAGCCTCAAAGCAATGCAACCCTCTGGAGGATTACAAGTGCTATCATCGTCCCTTAGAATGCTTCAACTGAACAAGGAATACTATATTCCTTCCGCTATCTCTCTGATTTTTCCTCGGGAGTGTGGATGTTATTTTGGAACTCTCCCACTCTCTCTCCCAATGGGTTCGTCTACACCCTTACTGATCAAAAACTAGAAGAAGAAATAAGGCTATATGTGCAGTGAATCTTCATCTGCATATTTTCTCTCAATTATCTCTTAGAGCAAAAGGAATCACAGTACAAAATATATACAAGACAAAGCCAATAAAAGGATGACAGCTTACCTAACAAATTAACAGAATACAAAGAAAGAGAACATGTGGAAAGAGAAATAAGATAAAAAGTAAAATAAAATAAATGATAATTCAACATCCCCCATCAAGCTGGCAATTGGTGGAGGTCAGCCAATCCCTTGGAAACTAAGTGATGGAACTGAGGGGTTGCTAATGCTGTGGTGAATATGTCTGCAACTTGTTGAGCGGAAGGAATGTGTTAAGGCAAAACGAATCCTTCCTTAAATTTGTTTCTAACAATATGGCAATCAATCTCCAAGTGCGTAGTTAGTTCATGAAAAATTGGGTTAGCACAAATATGTAGGGTGGATTTATTGTCGTACCATAAAGGGATAGGCAAAGGTATAGGAATGGCAAAGTCTTTCAGTATATAATTGATCCATGTGACTTCACATATAGTTGTTGCCAAACTTTTGTATTCAGCCTCAGCTGTGGATCGAGAAACCGTGGTCTGTTTCTTGGTTTTCCATGAAATCAGTGTGTCTCCAAGATAGATACAAAAGCCAGTGAGAGACCTTCTAGTATCACTGGAAGAAGCCCAATTAGCATCTGAGTATGCTGTTAAGGTGAAATTCTGTTGTACTGGAAAGTGAAGGCCTAGTGAAGGACATCCTTTCAAATATCGCAACAAATGAATTGCAATGTCCCAATGAATTTGATAAGGACTATGAACAAATTGACTTAACTGTTGTATGCCATAGGTAATGTCCAGTCTGGTCAGGTTTAAGTATAGAAGTCTTCCAATCAGTCTTCTATATCTTTTTGGATCTGGAAAATAAGGACTGGAGTTTTATGAAAGTTTTGTACCTTTTGGAATTGGAATTGAAATTGATCTTGCACCAATGAGCCCGACATCTTTAATGATGTCCAAAATGTACTTTCTCTGGTTAACATATGTCCCCATTTCACCTCTAGCAATCTCAAATGCTTGAAAATATTTTGTAGCTCCAATATCTTTAATGGTAAATTGAGAATGAAGATATTTGTTGACTGATATAATATCAGATTCATGAGTTCCAGTGATTAAGACATCATCCACATAAATAAGGAGAAATAAACTGGGATCGGATGATTGCTTAAGAAACAAACAATGGTCATGATTGGACTGAACAAACCCATACTCTGTGAGCTTAAGATAGAGTTCAGTATTACATTGTCTCGAGGCCTGCTTCAATCCATATACCCTTCTTCTCAGTCTACAGACTTTTTTTGCCGTTGCTATGGTATATCCTGGAGGCGGCTGCATATAAACCTCTTTATCAAGGTATCCATGCAAGAAAGAATTGTTGATATCAAGTTGATGGAGAGGCCAAGACCTGGTTGAGGCTATTGCAATAAAAATCCTGACTATGACAAGCTTTGCAACAGGTGAAAAACAATTTAAAAAAATCAATTCCTTTTAATTGATTGTAACCTTTTGCTACTAATTTTGCCTTAAGTCTATCCACACTTCCATCCAGTTTTAGTTTAACTTTGTATAACCATTTGCATCCAATAGCTTTCTTCCCTTGAGGTAAATCAGTGAGTTCCCATGTTTTATTTGATTCTAGTGCTCCCAGCTCCTCATTCATAGCAGGTGTCCAACTTTTATCTTTACAGGCTTGATGGTAAGAACTTGGTTCTTGATTTTTTGACACATTAGCCAGGTATGTCACATATGTATGGTGTAAGTTTGGTGAAATTGTGTAAGGATATGTAGGTGGCCATTAGTATAGAGTGTGACAAGAAATATCGAGGTAAATGAGCTTGGAACATGAGGGATCTGGCCAATTGGAGTAAACGCTGGTGTTTTCTTTCTACGACTCCATTTTGTTGTGGAATGTAGACACGTGATTTTTGGTAAAGAATTCCTAAAGTTTGGAGCAAGGTTTGACATTCATTTCCAGTAAAGTCACTTCCAATGTCTGTTCTAATGACTTTGACATCTTTTTTAAACTGGTTTTTAATCATTCTGAAGAAGACTTCTAAGGTCTTAACAGACTGGGATTTGTGAATAAGCATGAAGGTCAATGTGGCTCTATTGTAGTCATCTACAACGATGAGCATACAAGGTGTTCCAATCAGGGTGTGTTGTCTATGGGGACCCCATATGTCAATGTGCAACAATTCAACGGTGGTTTTTGAGTGAATTTGTGAGTTTTGGAACGAAAGTCTATTTCGTATTGCTTTGTGACAAATATTGCACGGTTCTACATTCTTAATGGCAGAAGCATTGCAAAACTGTTTAAGGAAGCTGAGATGTTGTAGGCATTGAAATGAAGCATGACCAAGTTTAATATCCCAATCAACAAGAGAAAAGGGAGAAGCCTTATCAGTAAAAGGAATTTTATTTCTAGAATTCAAATTCTCAGTAGATAGAAGATTACAGATATTCATTCTCCTATAACAATTTCCAACTCTACTATTCAGGAAACTATGGTCATCAAGTATGTATAACTTTCCCTTTAATTTTCCAACTGCTAACGTCCTATCACTCTTGAGGTCCTGCATCAAGCAATATGTAGGATAGAAGATATACTCAATATGTGCAGTTTGGCAGAGTTTAGAGACTAATAGTAAAATAAGTTTAAAAGTAAGTATGTGAAGAACATCAGTTAAAATGATTTTGTGGTTCATGGCAATGGTTCCAATGTGTTTGACAGCTTTGATAGAACCATCAGGTAGCAAAACAGGGGTAGGCTGTGTGACTGGTTTTAGGTTGGTCATTTGTGAGGAATTTGTGCATATGTGATTACTGGCACCAGTGTCAACAATCCAAGTTCCATGTTTCAGTTCATCAAGTGAAGTAAAAGCAAAATGTTGAGTGTACATACCTGAATAATCCCTGAGATGTGCAAAATTCACTTGATCTTCATTATCAGTGAGCTTCTTTCCTTTCAACATTTTCATCAATTCTTGCTAAACAATGGCAGCAATATTGGAAGAGGATGATGTATCCTTTGAATTCATAGTAGCAAAACCATCTTTAAAATCAAGGGGTGAATTATCCATTTTCATCACATTGTTTGCAGCATTTCTCCAGCTAGGATCCTTTGTCCTTTGATCTTTCTTGTACCAATCTGGAAAACCAATAAGTCTGAAACATCTTTCCTTTGAATGTCCACTCATACTGCAGTGGTTACAGTACATTAGCTCTTTATCATAATTACCATATCTTCTGTTAATTCCCTTTCCTACAGCATTGTTTCCTCTACCAAAAGCAGATCTACATGTCCAGTTTCCTCTCCCAGATCCTTTTCTTCCATGTCCATCATTCCTAGTATTAACTCCCCTGACCATCATCGCAGTGTTATCATTAGTTTCAGGATACAACATATGCACTTCTCTTGGTTTCTCTACCCTTAGAACCATGGAATAGGCTCTATTCACCGAGGGTAAAGGCTTCATCACAAGAACTTGATTTCTGACATTGTCATATGTATCATTCAGGCCCATCAAAAATTGCATATGTTTGTTGAAAGAAGCTGAATCAGAAACTTCCTTTGCAGCTCCACATGTACATACTGGTGATGGCATAAGACAAGCGATTTCATCCTATAATTTTTTAAGATTGGTGAAATATTTCTCCACTGTCATTGACCTTGTGTCATGCTATTGATCTCTCTCTGCAACTGCTAAAGTAATGGCCCATTGCATTCACAATATCTCTCATTTAATTCATCCCATAAATCCTTGGCTGATGTCGCGTAAATAAATGCTTCCACAATTTTCTTCGAGATTGAATTTAAGATCCAAGATCTAACCATAAAGTCTACCCTATTCCATTTATCAAATTTTTGAGATTCACTATCTGGTTTCTCACATTTCCCATTTATGAAGCCCAACTTTAATTTTGCACCTAATGCTATTTTAATGGACCTGTTCCAGCTGAGATAGTTTTTACCTGTCAATGGTGAAGTTACAAGGATCATTCCTGGATGATCCGAACTCTGCAAATCCAATGGGTCTCCATTGAAATACTCCTTTGCTGCTGCTCCCTGTTCAACCGTCGGAGGAATTTGTAGATCATCATTTTGATCGTTGTTGCTTGCCATCTTCTCGCTGATACATTTATCACTTCAAAATTGTATGGGTGCGAGATGATTTATGGCTCTGATACCATGATCAAAACTGGAAGAAGAAATAAGGCTATATGTGCAGTGAGACTTCATCTGCGTATTTTCTCTCAATTATCTCTTAGAGCAAAAGGAATCACAGTACAAAATATATACAAGACAAAGCCAATAAAAGGATGACAGCTCACCTAACAAACTAACATAAAATAAAGAAAGAGAGCACGTGGAAAGAGAAATGAGATAAAAGTAAAATAAAATAAATGATAATTCAACGCTTACTCTCATCTCTCAAATCAACTGCCTTGATAGGGATGGGCACTATTGGAGGAGAAAAAGTATTGACGGGATGGGCTATAGCTAAAGGAATGGGAATGAAAATTTCACGAACTTCAGAGCTAGAAAAGACAATGGTAGAAGAGTTAGAAGAAGAGGTGAGAGAAGAGCTAATAGGCTCTTCCTAGTTATTTTCTGAAAAATCGACTTTAGAGTCAACTGAATTCATTATAAAGGAAGAAAAGGAAAAAATAAAAAGGTCAAATATGGGAAGTAAAAAGTACCTAGGACAGGTTGATCGCAAATAGATTTTTGAAGAATGGGCTGGAATGGAGAAAAAGCCTTAAGATTAAGGAAAATGCCATTTTGCCATAATGAAATTAACACTGTTTTTGACATCATCTCACATTTGTGGTGGAACCCATGCGGAACCCATATGAATTAAAAAGAAAAAAAAATCCCCCTCTCCCACAATTGTGAGTGGCCTGTCAAGGAGGGTGTCAAACCTTCCCTAGCAGCCTAGCATTATTCTAAGATTAATAAGTAATGAACCAGTGTATTTGCACTGCCTTTTATAAAGATAAAAGGGAGATGAAGAGGTACCTCTTCAAACCATTGTGCTCTCAAAAGGCAAGAAATGTCAAGAGTCTCCACTTAAAAATAACTTCCCTATTTTGATTGTTCAAATTTTCAGTAATAGCATTTTCTATAGACTATCTAAATTTAAAATACTCTTTATTTCATAGAGTCGATATTTAAAAATTAGCTCCAAGAAACTCTTCACTTTAACTTTTTAAAATAAAGAGCGGATTTGACTCTCCAAATTTAGAGAGTCAAACTCACTCTCTATTCTTAATGTACAATAATTGTATTTAATACTCACATATTTCAATACTTTACTTTTTAAACTATACAAATCACATTTAAATTGATTGTTTAATTGACATATAAAAAATTTTGTTAAATAAAATATAAAGATAAATCAATAAATATTTTTTGGGAAAAGCAAAATGAATAGCTAAAATAGAGAATTTGTTGGAATGTACAAAATTCTTTGCTCTCTAAATTTAAAAATGCTCTCTATAATATATAAGATACTGTTTGTAAATAAAGAGTCTCTTGAAATTGCTCTAACTATTCATAAATGACCACCATGTGTTGCATAACTGTCGAGCACATGATTTTGATCACTTCCAGTCAAATCAACGTTTTTGAACTATATCCTAGGAGCAACTTACCAACGGATATTCGGATTTCAAAATGGATTAAGCTGGTTGTACAGCTTTGTTACACACACAGTTTCACAGCTTTTCAAAATGTCTGAGGTGGCAGCATTATGTGAGGGAAAAAAATTGAAAAAATAATTTTGGACAAAACACCTCCTGACCCGGCCCATTGTCTTCACTTCCCCAGTCAAATAATCCATTTCTTCCCACCTACCCCAAACTCTTCCCCCCAAATCGCAGCCGCCCAAATCTCCCGCCACCCATTCACTCGTCGGACGGTGACGACGAAATCCCCGTCCAAGCTCCCCCCCATCTCGCCGAAGCCGCTTTTCCCCCAGTTCGTTGAAGACTTTTGCAAAAGCTCTCACCTCTCAAGTTCGAAGAAAAGCTCTCACCTCTCAAGTTCGAAGAAAATCGCTGCAGGTCCCCCCCAATCGCCGAAGCTAGAAGTGAATAGTAGGAGAAGGAGCCTGAAAATTTGAGGTAATTTTTGGACACCCATTCCCCCATTGTTTTCCATTTTTTCTCCGGCTGTGGTGACTTGAAAGTAACGCACTTGTGGACCAATTTCACCAATTTCAGCTGCGGTAATTGTTGGACAGAGATTTGCAGCCCTTACGAGGTAATTTGAGCCTGAAAATTTGAGGTAATTTTTGGACACCCATTCCCCCATTGTTTTCCATTTTTTCTCCGGCTGTGGTGACTTGCAAGTAACGCATTTTTGGACCAATTTCACCAATCTCAGCTGCGGTAATTGTTGGACAGAGATTTGCAGCCCTTACGAGGTAATTTGAACATGAATCCATCGGTAGACGGTGACGGCGAACAGATGACTGAGAAAGGTAGAAAATTTATTGAAGATGTGCTTTGAAATGTACAATTACATGTGTATGAGGATGATTTTTTGCTACTGGGTTCGGTTGATTTTGTTGTAATTGAACATATTCCTATTCATTTTGATGTAGGAAAAGAAATAATGGAAGTATTTGATGACGAAGTATTTGTAGATTCCAACGCTGAGAAATTGATGGATAATGTAATAACGTTGAGAGCTGAAAATTTAGGAAGAGACGTGATTGTGCCTGAGGTTGGTATGCAATTCAACGATGAGAAAGAGTTGTTCGAATTTTACAAAAGATATGCGTATGAAGTAGGTTTTCCGGTTAGGAGGAGGAATTCCAAAAAGGGTGATGATGGATTAGTGCGATATGTTACACTGACATGTAGTCGTGAGGGAAGACGAAGGAATAACAGGAGTGCTTCTTTGAAGCCGCAACCAACAATTCAGATAGGCTGCAAAGCGAGGTTAACGGCTTCGTCAGATATTCGTGGGATATGGAAAATTTGTACGGTTGACCTCGAACATAATCATAAAACAAGTCCGTCGAAGTCTAGGTTGTATCGATGCAATCGAGAATTGAGTGCATATGTAAAACGGAAGCTAGAAGTGAATGATATGGCAGGGATTCCGTTACACAAGAGTTACAACTCTGCAGTAGTTGAAGCCGGTGGGTATGAGAATATGACTTGCATTGAGAAGGATTGCCGAAATTATGTTGAAAATGTGAGGCGATTAAGACTAGGTAAAGGAGATGCCGCGGCTATACAATCATACTTTTCAGAGATGCAAGCACGTTGCTCTGGGTTTTACTTTTCTATGGATTTGGATGACGAGTCACGACTTAAGAATATTTTTTGGGCAGATAATAGGTGCAGGCAAGCATATAAGGAATTTGGGGATGTCGTGACGTTTGATACCACTTATCTCACTAATAAGTACGACATGCCTTTTGCCCCGTTCGTTGGAGTAAATCATCACGGCCAATCAACACTGCTTGGATGTGGGTTGCTATCAAATGAGGATACACGGACCTTTGTTTGGTTGTTCAAAACATGGTTGTTGTGTATGCACGGTCAAGCTCCTAATGGAATTATTACCGATCAAGATAGGGCTATGCAAAATGCAATTGAAATAGTGTTTCCAAATACGAGACATAGATGGTGTTTGTGGCACATATTGAAAAAATTGCCGGAAAAGTTTGGATACCTTGTGGATAAAAACTCCATTTTTTCGTGTCTACACAGATTAGTGTATGACTCCCAGTTCGTTGAAGAGTTTGAGGAAGGTTGGAGAGTGATGATTGATACATATGACTTATATGATAATGAATGGTTGTCCGGGTTGTATGAGAACAGGGTTCGATGGGTGCCATGTTATTTGAAAACGACTTTCTGGGCAGGAATGTCAACTACGCAACGTAGCGAGGGTATGAATGCGTTTTTTTATGGGTATGTGCATTCGAAGACATCGTTGAAGCAGTGCGTAGAACAATACGAACGAGCGTTGAGAAATAAGGTTGAGAAGGAGTTCCAAGCAGATTTCAAGTCTTATTCGCAGATGGTGCCGTGTGCAACGAAGTATGAAATGGAAAAACAATTTCAAACAATTTACACCATATCTAAGTTTAGGGAATTTCAAGATGAGATTACTGGAAAAGTCTATTGCGATGTCATATCTGCAGTTGGTGGAAGTTCGGGGACGATGTACGGGTCGAGGAAGATGTCATTTACGAAGAAATGGTGAGGAAGAAAAAATTTTCGGTAATTTTTCGTGTAGAGGAGTGCGATATTATTTGCAGTTGTCATCTCTTTGAGTTTCGGGGAATTCTATGCAGACATGCCATATCAGTGTTGATGCGTAACGGCGTCATATCACTACCGGATAGGTACATATTGAGGAGATGGAGGAGAGATGTTTGTAGAGCCCATACAAGGATTGCAGTAAATTATGATGGTTTGGTTACCACTCCTGCACAGATGAGGTATGACAGAATGTGTAAAGAATTTGCTACGTTGGCAGACATTACCGCAGATGATGAGGAGCAATGTAGTGCGATAATAGATTGGATTCGGTGTTACGTTGGCAGACATTACCGCAGATGATGAGGAGCATTGTAGTGCGATAATAGATTGGATGCGGTGCAAGTCTAAAGAGCGAATGTCTACGAAGTTGATATGTGATAGTAACAACATATCTCTGCCAAGTTTGCATTTAGGATCCCAATCCAGAGCATCAACTGAAACGGGTGGAGAAAGTATACAAGATCCTAAATGCTCGAACAGGAAGGGCGCGCCAAAGAAATGCCGTAACAAAAGCCCATTGGAGTTGCATTCTAAGAAATTGATGGTATTATGTTCTTATTTTTTGTTCTTTTATTTATTCGAACAAATATAAATTATAAAGTGTTACTAACATCTTGCAGACAGCATCAAGTTCAAGTAAAGCACATAGACGGAGATCGAGAAAAAACAATCTTGGACAAGATACACATGTCGTTCAAACACCCCAGCAGGCAGCATATATCATACCCACACCATTGCCATATTCACAACTTACATTGGTAAGTACAATTTGTTTGGGTTTTTTTGATGTTACATTTGAAGGCCGCAATTGTTACTGATATTTGTCATTCTTATTGCAGCCATTCCAACCATTGATATCACCCAGTCAAAGTGCTGTACCAGGTTGGATGTCAAGTGCCACCCATTCCCTTCCTCGGGCTAGCATCGTTGCAGGTCCTGCTCACATTCATACTCCAAATTCTGGAATGACTTCTCAAGCAGCTGGTTTTGGATTCCAATCTCAACCAGATGGTTCTTCAATAAGACCACTATTCACCCATATTAATGAACATGAGTAGTCAGATAATTGTCAATTAGAAGTTTTGTTTATTTGATATGTCATGAACGATTGATGAGGCTACTGTATTGCAATTCAATTGATCATTTATCCCATTAGACATTTCTTTTTTTTATCTTGATGTTTTCCATGAAGTTCTCATTCTTTTGATTTTATTTAGTGGTCACCAATAACTTCAGTGAAGGGCAGCTTACATTTTACATTGACAAATACAAACATTTGAAACACATGAAACACTAATATTCAACATAATCCATTAACATTGACATGTTGACACAACCACCAAATACAAATATTTGAAACACTATCCCAATCATCGACTTCTATGTAGAATCATCCGAAACTCCTTTCCCCTTACGCATCGTTATGTTGAGCGAAATCTCCAAGTCTTTTTCCTCCGTTAGCTTTGCAAGAGTTTTCAACATATGAGACAAATCACCGACCGACTCACATCCGTTGGTAACGCCACTAGATTCACCGTCGTCGTGCAATGGACATTTTTCATCGGGATCATTTTTACACCATCTGAAGTACCTACAGTCGCGGGTGCAACAATGAAACAAAAGCCCCTTATGTTCATTATTCTTTTCCACCTCCATCCATTTGACGAAGCCTGCACCACAATTTGGGCATCTTCTCTTTTTTGGGCATTCCGGCAGCATATGTCCTGCCTGTCTACAACAATGACAAATTCCTCTATTCTTGCCCGCCATCGAATAATACTATAGTTCAACCACATAACATAACCACATCAATATAACAAAATTCATTCTTACTAATTAACATAGAAGACAAATTGTATGCATAAATCAATTTGAAGTTGAGCTGAACTAGAAAATAATAAGTGAAATGAATTGCAACTTCCAGTTTCATGCCATAAAATTCAAAGTAAGATTATTAAATAACAGAATGAACTTGAAAATTTTCTTTTTCTGCCGTAACTGCAAATGATCACTCATTCGACGCCCCAGATCTTAAATTCCCGAGTATCACGACAAGTTAAAGAGTTTCAAGTATGTGACAATTATATGGGATTCTCAAAACAAAAAAACACTAATGAGTATTGCAGTTAACAGCAATAATCTAATCTTTTCTAAACAAAATCGTTCAATCTATTTCACTTAAATAACAGACTCTGTATTTTCATTCCACCAGGTTGCTATCCAAACATCAATTGATCAATTTTTAAGCTACCCAATGGGAATGGGTTGTTCAAATTACCTCATAAGGGCTGCAAATCTGTCCAACAATTACCGCAGCTGAGATTGGTGAAATTGGTCCAAAAATGCGTTACTTGCAAGTCACCACAGCCGGAGAAAAAATGGAAAACAATGGGGGAATGGGTGTCCAAAAATTACCTCAAATTTTCAGGCACCTTCTCCTACCATTCACTTCTAGCTTCGGCGATTGGGGGGGGACCTGCAGCGATTTTCTTCGAACTTGAGAGGTGAGAGCTTTTGCAAAAGTCTTCAATATTACCTCAAATTTTCAGGCTCCTTCTCCTACTATTCACTTCTAGCTTCGGCGATTGGGGGGGACCTGCAGCGATTTTCTTCGAACTTGAGAGGTGAGAGCTTTTCTTCGAACTTGAGAGGTGAGAGCTTTTGCAAAAGTCTTCAACGAACTGGGGGAAAAGCGGCTTCGGCGAGATGGGGGGGAGCTTGGACGGGGATTTCGTCGTCACCGTCCGACGAGTGAATGGGTGGCGGGAGATTTGGGCGGCTGCGATTTGGGGGGAAGAGTTTGGGGTAGGTGGGAAGAAATGGATTATTTGACTGGGGAAGTGAAGACAATGGGCCGGGTCAGGAGGTGTTTTGTCCAAAATTATTTTTTCAATTTTTTTCCCTCACATAATGCTGCCACCTCAGACATTTTGAAAAGCTGTGAAACTGTGTGTGTAACAAAGCTGTACAACCAGCTTAATCCTTTCAAAATAATGCCACTTGGGATAAAGGCCAGAATTTTATCAGAAAAGGTGAATCCTAATCTTTGGGTGTTAATTATTGATGAGCTTCCAATTAATTGAGGTTTATTTACAAAATCAATAAAAGGGTTAATAAAGAAGTAAATTATCCCCCAAAACAAGTGCAGTGAAACTTCACTTCGGTTATAATCACCGTTATAAGAAAGGACTATGCTAGTTGTACAATCGAGATTGACAATCTAGTTGACAACCACTCACATGGGGGGGGTTCACTTTTTTTTTTTTTTTTGAATTTTTTAAACACGCAGACCCCGTACACAGGTGAGATGTTGTCAACTGAGGTTATCAACTTCGATTGAACAAGTAGAATTTTCCTATAAGAAAACATTATCATTATTAATTTGACTAAATGATGTCATCACCTCTCTCATAACCTATCTCAAGAAGACACGTGGTAAAAATTGACAGAAGCACCTCGTGACTAACCAATCAAAAATCTGTAATGATAAGTTAACTACAGTTATCTCCAAAATATAATAGCTCGCACATTAAGGAGAAATACTACAGAAGACGTGATGTTGAACGGTTAAGTTGCTTGTTTGGAGGCTAAAACCAAAGTCAAACTCAATGTACTCTCAATATATACCTTCCACAAATACTTTATTTATGCAAACTTTTTTTTACCTCATTAAAATCATCAATTAAATTAACAAAAATTGACCAAAATATACAAGTACAATGGCTTCGGATTTTGTAAATATTAACAAAATAAATTGTAAAAAAGAGGATGAAGCTCAATCTAAGTTGATTTTTGATATGTCAAATACTTCTCGCTCCTAAAGTTTTGTAAGTTTGTTTTTCTCCAATTTCCTCTTTTAATTGTCATTTTCTTCATTTTTTGAATCTTTTTAATTATCATTTTCTACATAAACATTTACAATTAAGGAAAATACTAAGTGTACATTAGGGGGTATATAAGGGTGTCCATAACGGGCACTCGGCGCCCTCCTATTGGATGAAGTGTTGGCCCCACCTGCACTCCATTCAATAGGGAAGCGCCGGGTGTCCATTATGGACACCATTATGTATCCCTTGATGTACTTGTAGCATAACTCTACCATTAATATGATATTCTTGGGACACCACGTGGTTAATTGGGATAGGACTATTGACGTGTCCAAACACAACCTAATTAAATAGAACACACCGTTACTGTTTTCGTTATGATATAAGCACACATTCTGCACTTCCTCCGGGTGTTCGTTTAGGCATTTCTCTTTGTTAAAGCTCTTGTCTTCGGCCTCCGCCCGATCGGAACCAAATCCGGTCTTCTTTCGTAAGTATCTCATCCAATTCTGTTTATTTTTTCTAGATTTATTTGTTCTGAGGTTGATTAATTTCTCTTTTTCTACGTGAAAATTTTTGAGATCTGGGGAACAATTCTTAGATCTGTCTCGTTTGCATTTAAAGAATTATTTTTTCACGCCATGGAAATTGTTTTGATATCAAGGCGTGCTTTTTAAGTGAGATTTTAAATTTTAAAATTGAACTGAATAAGAAATTAAAGAAGGATTCACCGGCTCAATTTTACAATTACACTAACTAATTCAGAGTAAGAGGTTTTGATACGTTTTTTTTATTATATTTTAATTTTTGTCAAAGATTGAGGATATATTTCTTTGGTTAGGAATTTGTGCAGAAGCCTGTATGTGTGTGTGGTGCAGAATTAGAAACAACATGGATGTGATATAGCTGAATTGAGACATTAGTGTAGTCTAATAGATCCCCTTTGGCTCAAATTTGATCAAATAAATCCCCGTGGGATCTCACTGGTTTAAATTAAAATTCTTGAGTTCATAAAGAATTGAGAGCTTAATCATGTCTTGAGGTTTGTGGACGGTTTAATAGTTCAAAGTTTAATACTATAGTGTTCCTATGATAGTTGAGAGGCACTCGCATTATTCCTGCAATTGGAGTTATAATATGAATCTGAAATTATTTGGAAATTGGTTTCAGGAATTGATGACAAGTTTCTTGTTGACATAATTTGAATTTTGATTGAAAAATTTAGGATATAAGATCAGAAAGAACAGCATTTCAAGAACGTTGAGTGTCAGATATAAGCAATTAGAGAAAGATGCCTGCACAAAAGATCGAAACAGGTCACAACGATGTGGTTCATGATGTATCCATGGATTATTATGGAAAACGAGTGGCGACAGCATCATCTGATGCCACTATAAAAATAATTGGTGTTGGGAACAATTCTACCTCTCAGCATCTCGCTACTTTGACTGGTCATCAAGGTCCAGTTTGGCAGGTAGCATGGGCACACCCCAAGTTTGGCTCATTGCTTGCTTCATGTTCTTATGATGGTAAGGTCATCATCTGGAAGGAAGGTAATCAGAGTGATTGGTCTCAGTTTCATGTTTTTAACGACCACAAATCGTCTGTCAATTCTATTGCTTGGGCACCGCATGAGCTGGGACTCTGCTTGGCTTGTGGATCGTCTGATGGGAATATCTCAGTCTACACAGCTCGATCAGATGGTGGTTGGGACACGACGAAAATAGACCAAGCACACCCCGTTGGAGTCACTTCGGTTTCATGGGCCCCTTCAATGGCCCCTGGTGCTTTAGTTGGATCTGGACTTCTGGATCCCGTTCAGAAGTTAGCATCTGGTGGCTGTGATAACACAGTGAAGGTTTGGAAACTATATAACGGTAATTGGAAGATGGACTGCTTCCCTGCTCTACAAATGCACTCCGATTGGGTGAGAGACGTTGCATGGGCACCAAATTTGGGGCTTCCAAAATCAACAATTGCCAGTGCTTCACAGGATGGTACGGTGGTCATATGGACTGCTGCAAAAGAAAGCGATCAATGGGAGGGTAAAGTTTTGAAGGACTTTAAGACTCCTGTTTGGAGGGTCTCATGGTCTCTGACTGGGAACTTGTTGGCCGTGGCTTCTGGGGACAACAATGTCACATTATGGAAAGAGGCAGTTGATGGGGAGTGGCAAGAGGTCACCACAGTCGACCAGTAGATTTCAGGTTCGTTCATTTATCTAGAGAGAG